ATTGCAATGTCTTTCGCCCATCGTGACAATTTTTTGGTACGTTGGAAATAATTGGTCGGTCTGAAAGTGTACGTAATAATTTACCCCATCGCCACCAAAATCTTCAATCGGATCCTATTAAAAAATAAAAAATACAAATTTAACAAATTTTTTTTTTGGACATTTAAACTATTAAATACATGATATAAATTATAATAAAAATTAACTTCAAATAAATTAAATCCATTAGAAAGCAACAAATAAAATTAAAAAAATCATCGAAAATTTACTAATTAAATTAAATGTAGTTTTTAATTTTTAAGTATTATTTAAAAAAAAATTAAAAGGTACACGACCGCATGTAATATGCAACTATACCATGTTATAGTCGCCTGTAATATGCAACTATACCATGGTATAGTCGCTTGTAATATGCAACTGTACCTTGGTACAGTCACATGTAATATGCGACTCTACCATGGTGCAGTCGCATATTACATGCGGTCACGCCATGGTATAGTTGTGTATTACATGCAACCGGGTACATCGAAAATTGAAAAAAAAAAAAAGGTTCGACATATACCTGACTCGACGGCGTCGAAGGTTCGTCGTCCCCATCAAGTGCCTCCGATATGAACGCCGACAGTCGTCGACTCATTTTAGTGATCGGAAAGTACAATGTTGGTGGTCAACCGTCGTGGAATCGGTCAAGCTGGTTGTCAAGGTGGAGTCGTGGTGGTGGATGGTCAAGGTTAGTGGTGGTATGGGTGGTGGAGCTGATGGTTAAGGTGGAGCCATGGCTTGAGTAAGGTCAAGTTGACAGTGATTTTAAGGTGGTGGGACAAAGTTAGTAGTGGTTGGATTATTATGTCATTTTCAAAATTAAAAGGGGCATGAAGGTCATTTAATACCATAGCTTGAGTAATTCCATTGTGGCAAATAGCAATTCATTTTTTTAATGATGGAGGAAAGGAAAGGATCACCACCCTCAAAGTATATCTAGTGGAGATGAACCCCCAACCTTAAGAGCACTATCACCAAAGAAAAAAAAAATCCCTCTTCACTCTCTCTCTCTCTCTCCCTCTCTCTCTCTCTCTATACCTTTCCCTCTCCTCCACATCAGATTTTTTTAAGAAAGAATTTTTTTCATCCCGCCAACAACAAATCCAAAAAATTTCTCACCATTCTCTTTCTTACTTTTTACTAAACCCCACTATATTCTCTCTCTTACTTATTTTCAATTTTCATTTTATTAATTACTATCCATAATATTTGCTACCATATAATTGACAATAATTACTTGTAATTTATTAAAATTATGTCTTTAATTAATTACGAACTAATTTAATAATCATGATTAATTTAACGTAGTTATAAATTAATTACGAACTAATTAAATAATCATGATTAATGCTGTTAGAATTAAGCTCTTCCAAAAAGTGACACGTGTAAGAAGATCATTGGCTAACATTTAATCTCAATACAACCTTTGCAATTGTACCGTTGAATAAATGTTGCATGGTTACTTTTTTGGTGGGGCCCACACGAAATTCATCAAAAAAATAAAAAAGATATAACAAAACTTGCGCACCTGCCCCACCATTTGTCAGCAAATATTAGTAAGATGAAATGTGAGAATTTTTGCTCCAAGAGAAAAAATTCCCAAAATTCTCTAGAATTTTTATGAGAAATTTTATTGGTGGGGTTATATTTTGGGCGAAAAAAAATTCTAGAGGAGAAAAAATTCTTTGCTGTAAGTGCTCTAAGGTTGGAAGATGCAATCCTTATTCCTTACCACTAGATCACAAAAAATATTAACGAGTATATTAGATTTTTTAATGATAGAGAAAGGGAAAAGGATTCCCACCCTCAAAGTATCTCTAGTGGGGATGAACCCTCAACCTTAAAGTTGGAAGATGCAATCCTTACCAATAGACCAAGCTTAATTTGGATAATATCAACAATCAGTATATTATATTTACGATCAAAATTATTACATACGGTACTTTAAAATACTGGGTTTTTTATTTTTATTTTTATTTCACCAAAATAAAGTAGTTTTAATTAATTGCAATGTTTTATGAAATAACTACAAAGTAATAAGTGTTACTCAAACTATTAGGTGCGGCAGTTCACACCAAATGTTTTGTGCAGCGGCGGAGGCGATGACGATGACGATGATGACGACAATGACGATGACGATCTAAAAATGGCGATTTGCGATTAGAAACCCTAGATGTGAAGCAACGACTTCCTTTGGCTGCTGGGTTCGGCACTCCGCCTGAAAAGGACGACCTGAAAATGACGATCTGAGATGGCGGTTTACGTGGTTGGGCACTTCGCCTGGCTGCGCGGCTGACTGTGGCTGCTGGTAGGGGTGAGCAAAAATTCTGGGTACCCGGAATCGGTTAGGAACCGGCGAGTTCGGATTCGGAATTGGACCCGGTGGTTCCAATTCCGGGTACTCCCTCCGTGTTTTAATAAGTGTTACACTTACCAAATGCGTTCGTGTTTTAATAAGTTTTACACTTCCTTTTTTGGCAAAAAATTACAATTTAATATTATATCTCTCTCCTCTCATGGTCCCCACCCAACCCACTACTACTTTTTTAATTATTTCTTTCCTCTCACATTCATTATTTTTCAATAAACTATTAACCCCACTATCTTTCTTTTACAATTTTTTAATACTCCAACTACTCCACTTACCCCTTATTTTATTTAAGTCAATTAAATTGCCTAAAATTATGTGGCGGTCAAAGTATAACACTTATTAAAACACGGAAGGAGTAATAAATTAAGGAACCGGTTGCAACCGGTTCCAATTCCAATTCTCAATTTTTTGGACCTGGAACCGGTTGTTACCCAATATATGTTAAACTAAATATATTTTTAAAATAAAAATAGGTTGAATGTATCTAGTTAGTAAAATAAAAAAATATATATATCATTAGTACCTAATATAAATAAATTAGCTTCATGCATACATATATAAATATAAGTATTAAACGCTAAAAATGAAAATGCATCAAAACAAGTATTATAATTTTTATTAGATTTTAAAAATCATGCACATAAGTGGGTACCCAGAACCGAAACCAGTACCCGACAGTTCCAATTTCTAAACTTTAGGACCCGGTTGAAGTGGTTCCAATTCCAATTCCGAATTTTAGGACCCGGTCCCAACCAATTCTGGGTCCGGTTCCTAAAATTTTGACCGGGTACCTGGTTTTCTCACCCCTAGCTGCTGGGACGGTGGTTGCTGGGTTCGGTGGCGGCGACCTGGCGTAGGCTTGAACAGCGGCGGCGAAAACGACATGGCGAGGGGTGGTCGGACTGATTTGTGGAGGAAGAAATTAGGGGGAAGTAAGGAACGAAGGAGAAGGACTGAGGATTTGGTGTAAGGATTTGGCGTGAGGAACAAGGAGGAGAAGAAGAAGTAGAATGATGTTCTATAAAATTAAATAAATAAATAAATAAAAGAATGATGCATATAAGCCAAAAAAAATTAACATATCAGCTAATAAATGTCTTATATTAGTCAATATTAGGGACATATCAGACATTAATAAAAACGTATCAGCTAACAAAAGGAACCTATCAGCCAACAAAAGATACATATCATCTAACAAGAGGAATATATCATCCAACAAGAGGTACTAATCAGCCAAAAGACGAAAAATATCAACCAACAAATGAAGTATATCAGCCAACAAAAGGATGAAATCAACAAACAAAAGCAACATGTAAGCCAACAAAATAAACACATCAGCCAACACAATGAAACATATAAGCCAACAATTAAAATATACATATCATCCAACAAAATAAAGATATCAGCCAACCAAAGAAATATATTAGCCAACTGATGTCTGATAGCTGCCAACAAAAGGAACATGTCAAAAATTTAAAAAAAAAAAAGAAAAAGAAAAAAAAAAAAGAAAAAAAAATATCAGCTAACAAAAGGAGTATATTAGCTGTAATCCCCCGTATTTTTAAATATTTTATAAATGAAATTTTATTTTATTTACAATATTTATTTGTATTTTTCCAGAATTTAATTTTCAAATTATTAATTTGGGTCAAAAATTATTTTAGGCTAAATTAATTTATGAACCTATATAATACAATTCATTGTTATAAAAACAAAGTCTAACCCATTTGTTTATTTAATTGGCCCATTATTTTCATGAGGCCCAATCCTATCCTACAATTCTCTCCTATAAATACCCCATGAATCCCCAAATTTTCCCCCACATAAAAAGGTTAGTCTTATTTTCTTCCTCCTTTATTTCTTATTATTTTCATAAATCTTAAGTAATTGATTTTTGGGTTTTGGTTTTTTATTGCTTGAAATTAGTTTATTTAGTATCAAAATCATGTTTTTGATGTTTTAAACTAATAATTTCAGTTTATAATTGTTGTTTTAAATTTCAGATTTTGTAATTTTAAACCTAGGGTTTTAATTTAGTTAAATTGGGATTTTAGGGTTCTAATGATCAATTAATTTGGGGCTTTTGTTCCTATTGAATTTCTAATGATTAATTAAGCATAAAAATAATTTTTTAATTTTCCGTAATCAACTTATGATCTCCGTTCTTAATTTATTTTTAATCACGTTTTAATCACGTTTAGATTCTAACTCGTCTAATTTTTACAAAGAAATAGTGTTTTTCGTGTGTAAACGACGTTTTAATCAAAATTTATTACCTTTGGTAGTATGCACCACCCTCGCATGGCCAAATTCAGCCTCTAAATATGTTTTTCGGGCAGTTTTTGATTTTTAATGAAGGTTTAATGTTTAAAATAAATTTTCATATTTTTATAAAGCTCTAAACTTTCTGTAATTTTATGAATAAGTATGTATTTTAATGTTTTTATGTAGGAAATTTTAAGAATTATATATAAGCTTTTAATTTTAGCAAAAGGTAAGGTTTTAAAGTGTTGTTTAATTGAATTTTGAAAGTTTGATTGAGTTTTTATGAAACTAATTGAATTCTAATTATATATTTCAAGTTTAGATTGTTGTATTCATACATCCTACTATTAAATAAAATTTTTAGATTTTTAATCTTGGTTTTAAAGGTTTTAAATCATGGTTTATGATGGATTTTTAGATTTTTAACATACTAACCTACTACATAATGATTATTTGTAGAGGAGATGTTTATGAGGTTGCTTTATATTCTTAAATTAAATTTTCAGATTATAATCCTTACTTTAAAGTTGCTGGAATTTTATGTTATAAGCTTTATTTTCATGATTTTAACATATAGATTTATAGTTGAACTATTAAATTATTAACTTTGACTATTGTGAGTAATTTAAAAGCATTATTTCAATGGTTTAAGGGGTTTTAAAGTAAGTTAGTATTGCTGTAAATTATATTGCTTGGGTATTGATTGAATTATTATTGTTTGGTTTAGGAGAGGACTTTGTAGAAGACGATTTTTGGTTCCTAAAGTGGCCAACCAACTCGTTTACTCAAGGTATGTACAAGGATACGAAAACCTTGACTCTAGAAGCATGTTTAAGGACTTGGCAGACTTAGAATCATGTTAGGAAACTTGTGGATTGGTTGGAATTGTGTGGTAGTAAGTTTGATTGGTGAATAATGTGATGATTGGTTTTGTTTCATGTATGAGAATTGCGTATTAATTTATCTTGTAAGCATTATTTATGCATTAACTTGCAAGATGAGCTTAGAGGCAAAGGTACGTGAATATGCGGAATGAATTATTTTATTACTCGTTCATGATTATTGAAGTGGAATGAGTAAAGGGAGAATTAAAGTCTTATAAGACGAGGTTGAGGATTGAGGTGCCTTATGCACTTAAGGTGTTTATATATCGAGGTAGTTAAAGGATTCAACACTAAGTATTGTTTGTCACTAATAAATCAAGAATTGAATTAGAAATTTGAATTGTTTGAATGATTGATGTATGATTGGTTGTACTGTTTTGCATTGAGTCATCACCAAGTTTAAACTGGTAAATCACGTAAAGTGCAAGAAGGATGAGCAGTAAAACTCTGGATTTGTGCACATCTGGAGTATTGACAATCAGGGGTTGGGGTTCACGGGGTATTAGCCGTGTACTTTTTAGAGGTCGTCTGATCTAAGAGTCTCTTGTTTTTAAATACTTTTTAAAACTATAAGGAGTTAGATGAGATCTCATACTAGCTATGGCCACGGAGTCGCGCCCGCCATTGGATGTTTATTGATGTTTCCAAAAAGAGGCATGGGGTTTTTCTTTTATTGATGTTCCGAAATGGAGCATGGGGAGACAACCTTGTCTATTGCTTAATCCAACCAATGAATGAAATGAATTATTGTTAGTAATTAGTGAGGTCTTAGTAATGTTAACAGTTGAGGCGTGTGTGTTTGAGTCAATAATTAGATTGTGTGTGCTGATTGATTTTAGTAACATGTTAGGGATTCTTTGTTATATTTCGTAGCTTGTATGTACTCAGCCTTGCTAACTACGTGCTTTCGTGTGTCTTTTCTTGGTCATGGTCTTCGTCTTTTCAATGGCCCTATAATGATCCAATTTTTACACTTGTAATATTGGGGAGCAGATTAATCACAGGTTTTTACATAATCAGATCTTGCATCAAGGTGGTGGGATTTTGAGTGGAGTGTTGGATATTTCCACAGTTTATTACATTTCATAAGTTTGGATTTAATTAAACTCTGGTTTGATTTATTTACTACTTTTATTGGGTTTTGAATAAGGGTCTTAACGGTTCCAACTTGTAAGACTAAATTTGGTTTTGAAACTTATTGATAACTAAGTTAGTTTTTCCGCTGCTAAATTCTGAACTAGCCTTAACGTTTGAACATGTGGCGGTAGCACGTTAGTAATTCTCTTGCAGATTGTTAAAGGTATTTACAGGTTTTTAAAGAGAGAATTATTAGGGTGTACATTAGCCAACACAAAAATCATATCAGCCAATAAATGAAACATATCGGCCAAGAAATGAAACACATCAGCCATCACATGAAATATATCAGCCAACAAGAAAAATATCTCTGCCAGCTTGCCATACGCACAATTTGCGTGCGGCAGTCTGATGAGTCTATTTTATATATATTTTTATTCCCCGTCCCACGGTTATATTTGTGCTTAATTGAGCTATACGAAGCTATTTTTATTACTAATATACGTTTTCTAGTATTTTTGTAGAGTTGGTATTATTTTGTAGGAATTTGCAGAATTATGACAATTCCCAAATTATTAGCCACTACAAAGATTATAGAGTCGGATCATTTTTATGACCGTATATTTAAAGCCCAAGACCGAGTTAAATAAATTTAGTTCGATGATTAAGGGCTTCATACGTGAGGAGGTTCAAGATTCCAAGTTACTAACACAGACCAACCAAGGAAGAAGAATTGGGCCAAAGTTAGAGGCCCAGTCACGTTCACGCTCAAGAGCTAGGCCGCGAGTTTACTCCAAGCAACTGGGCCCGATCGGGTGAAGAGTACTACAGCTGGACGCGCCTTTATCCTTGGGCCTTACTCCAACTGTTCAACTTAATGTCGGTTTCTGACTTTAACTAGCCTTATTCCAATTCACGCAATTATATATATTTGAGGACTTAGTTTAGCTTAGGGGGTTGGCAGCTTTATTTTTTCCTTGGTTTTAGTTTTGTTATTTCCGTAACTTGTTCAATTCTTAGTTTAACTTTAGTAGGATATTTTATATTATCTTTAGTTCAGTTTTCTTTCATCGGCAGCTTAGAAGATTCATTATTAGTTTTTGTTCTTTATTAGCTTTCATGTTTTTGGTTTAGTGGAGATTTAATGTTATTTGTAAACTACAGCTATTACTTTAATTTTCTTATTATTATTGCTTTTCTTTAGTCTTTGTTTTTATTATTTTCATATTAGTTTTATAATTATTGTTTTAATCATACTTAATTTAATCGCTTTGACTAGTTTAGTTTTAATTATGCACGAATAGTTTAATTTTAGGATTGTTGGGGATCCATGATTAATATAAAGAAATGATTTATTATTATTGATTATTAATGTTTTCGGTCAATTTCCTATTGATTGTTATAATGCTATGCAATTAATTTGCGCAAGTTTAATTGTATGAGTTATGCAATATTGATTCGAGATTCGACAGATGAGAATTGATGTTTAGGCTTAGTTTCAATAGGTAGAATTAATTTATAAATGGTTAAGTCAAGATTCGAGAGATGCGATTTAATACCGCTAAGTTAATTCTGTGATTATAATATGTAGCGAAAGCCCTTTATAATCTGGTTAATTTATGCATTGATAATTGATTGTTGTCTTTCATCCCGAAATATTATTTATTGGTGAACCTATGCCCTAGGCCTTTAAGTATTGATTATTCCTTTAGTTTAATTATTGTCATAGTATAATTCTCACAATTCTCACTTGTTTCTTGATAATTTAGATTATAATAATTTATTAGGAATAAAAGAACATTGTTTTCCTGTGGATTCGACCCTACTTCCCTATTTGCTTTAGCTAGAGGATTTAGGTAATTCTTTTAATTTGGTGATACGACTTTAGCCTGTCACAGTCCGCACTCAATACCTTCTCTAAGTGTTATGGTACTAAAATGGCGCTAGTCGTTTTAGCCTATGATAATCTTAACCTTATAAGCTGAAAGGGATACCAAATGCCTCAAAAGGTCCAAACAAGCCAAAAACATTGCAAGGACTCATTAATTCATTATCACCACTCATATGCCAACATAAATATCCTTCCTAGGGCAGAGATAAAAGGAGGTCTCACTCTTACTCCTAAAATTAAAGAACCACGCAGTAATATCTCCCCTCTAAAGTCTAAACAATCTCAAATAAAATGCCTTGTATATATGATGTGATAAGTAGGCCAATTGAGTATGAGACCACAAATTCACACCCATGTTGAGAATTTGATTTGATTTGTTTTTTTTTTTTTTTCATTTCAAGTAACACCTAATAATGTGTAGACGGAAGAAGAAAGTTGTAATACTAGCAATAGCAATCTCTGTTAAAATTATTTTTACAAAAATAATAATTATAAAAATTATTATTATTATTTAAAAAATAAAAAAATAAATAAATAAAAACAAACTAGCAATAGCAAATACTTGTAGCAATCTAGCATTTTAAAACACAGTGTACTTCCATGATCTAAAATTTACTAAACTATCTACTTGCATCATTTTGGGCTGAAATTTGACATGGATTCATATAATTCAGATGGGCTAACACTGAAGTATATGTGGAGTTACATGGGTCCAATTCATTCCATGCTCTACAATTCAATATCATTCCTCATCACATGCAATAATATGACTTTTGCTTAATCACAAATTTACATCATCACATGTCTCACTTTTGATCAATTGTTACTTATATCTTAGATGGAGTAAAAACAATGATTTTTTATTTATTTTTTTTATTTATTTTTTATTTTTATTTTACTACCGTAAAACAATGTTACTACGGATTTGTATATTTACAACATATAAAGTACAACGTATTATCATTAAGACATTAATTTTACTATTAGATAAATACGAAGTATTAAATAGTGACACTAATGATAAAAAATTTGTACACTGGCAATTTTTTTTTGTCAAAGTATTTGCATTCAAATTTAAATTATTCAACTTATATTATCCGAATCTATTTAAAAGTTTTTGTCTATAAAATTGATTTATTTTGTCTCAAATTGTCTAGAAAATAAAGTTTGTTATGCTTGAAATTGTTTAAACCTATTAAATACACCTATTTTGTGTGAAATGTGTCAAAATTAATTAACGTAAGTTAACCTATTCACGAGCCTATAATTTCCTTAAAAAGAAAGATGCCCTTTGTTAGGAAATAAGGGTGTAATTGTGTTTGATTGATGCGGAACAAACTAGTCAATGAAAAACATGAACAAGAAAAGCAATAAAAAAAAGGCTAAGATACATGAAGAACTAACACAAAGATTTACGTGGTTCAGTCAAATTAGACCTACATCCACGGGTGGGGGATTCGAGAGCTTCTTCACTATAATGGAGAAAGAACGAGAGAATAATATAAGGAGTCCTAAATCTAATGGCTGAAAAAGGTGTGATCTAATTGATCAACTAAAGGGTCATTTTATAACACAAGGAAACCCTAAATTGTTCCCCAAGTATACTCAAATAGTCGTCATGGAAAAGTTATAATTTTAGGAAATATTCGATAAGCTATCTCGGCAGCTAACTCAAGCATGTCGCAAGTCTTCATAGGGCCGAGTGTTATAGCTAGAGCTATAGCTCGCCTGCTCGTCGCAATTTTCCAGGTTCATCAGGTTTTCGTAAAACGACCATAACTTGAAATAAGCTATCACCTCCAACTTGAATCACCTCAAAATCACTTGTAGTTTGAGAGATATCTGCATTCAAAGTTAGCCCTACAAGATTTCGAGTCACAATTTAACATCCTTATTTCATCAACACAAGTGTTTATTATTCCGAAATAGAGAAAGTTGTAGATCTATTGGAATATATATAATATCACAATACCTTAACTTCTTTGCTTGAAAGTTATAATTGTCATACCATATGAGCAACATTTACATATTACTGTATATGTGTTTATGTACTCCATATGGATTTCAATTGAAATCACACATGCTCATTCCCAAATTGATTACCCAATTACTCATTCATACACTTACCCTCTCTATTCTAAAATACTTCCTATCAAGACACAAGATTGCTATTATTTTATAACTGTATTACCTTGTCTTTTACTTATTTCACTTACACTATTTCTTTTTATGTTTCTCTCTACCATTAATATCACTTGTTGAGTTGTAGTGATACTTTATTGTTTATCTTCTTCATAGACAATTAAATTTATTTCAATTAACTCTACTTGCACAGTAACATATTCATTTCTATACAATACTTAGTAATCATAAGTTTTTAGAAAATACGAGAGTTACAAATATTTTAAATTGACGGAGAATAATCCCACCTCATATATAAATTACTCCATGCATGTCCCCCCTCACAAAAACACAGGTCAACAACTAGATAACCATTTTCATGGCAAGAAGTACAAAATACTCTTGCCTTAGAGCCAAATTATTTTATGCTTCCCAAAGTATTAGGGTACATATTACAACATCCTATTCTTATAGAGAGTATCAACCCAAAAGCCTAAAAAGCTAAGCTCGTCAAAATAAAAGTTGAAACTACCCAACAAATAAATAGACCTATCACAATGTAGGGAACATAAGACGAAATTACTAAATTACCCCTACAGTATATGAACCCAAAATTGGAAATACACACTTCTCTATATACTTAACTTTTGTTTCCATAAAAACATAAGTACTTTTTGACTAATAAATTGGACCAACTAGAGAATTAGTTGCATGCTATAGAATTAGTCAATTAGTTGCATGGAATAAATACTGTATAGAAATTAAAACTAAAATAAATTTTTTAAAAAAAGGGAATTGAAAAGGAGGACAAAGGACTAGACGTTGAGGTTCTAGGGAAAAGTTGGAAGACCTTTTAATAAGGTGCAAAACGGTAGTGATAGTCACAAGTCAGAAGATCATAAATGTGAGATCAACCAAAAATAAATTCTTCACCGAAGAAGCGTAAAACAAGTTTGTGTGTTATTTGTTGCACGGAATGTATAAATGTGCATCACTCTCCCCCGCTGCTTATGTGTGTGTACAATAAATATTCTACTCGTACTCTTACTATATATTCTTTTTCATATTATTTTTGAGAAAATAGGAGATTGATTTTTAATCTCATCAATAAAGTATTGGCTCATTTAGTAATTTTTATCCCAGATTTTAAAGGCCTGAAATTCACATCTTAACAAGTGAGGGTGTTTGGGAGTTGGGATCCTTAACCCTCCCCCTACGTCCAAGTCTCTTGTCCGTAAATATTTAATTAGGCCAAAAAAAAATCCCGTGAGGGTTGAGGTGTGGTCAAAGTCTTCTTTACTACAAGACAAAAAAGAAATTAATTTCTTGTATACGATTTTAAAAGGATACGAGCTTAATTTTATTACTCGTGTTTGGGAGTTGGGATCCTTAACCCTCCCCCTACGTCCAAGTCTCTTGTCCGTAAATATTTAATTAGGCCAAAAAAAAACCCGTGAGGGTTGAGGTGTGGTCAAAGTCTTCTTTACTACAAGACAAAAAAGAAATTAATTTCTTGTATACGATTTTAAAAGGATACGAGCTTAATTTTATTACTCGTATTTGGATTCACCTTGTAATTATTCTTAACTATGGAGTATAAAGAGGTATTAGGAGTACGTTTTTCAAGCATGTTTTTGACCAATATGATATTCTAAATCGGATTTTGTTTAATATCTTATTCCCTCTATTTCAAACTATTTGCATCAGTTTGACCAACATATTTGCCAATATGGATTTTTGACCACCAATATTTTTAATTATCTTTAGGTGTAAGAAATTAATAAAAAAAATAGTAATAATACTCAAAAATTAAATATTGAGGCGATTCTAACAAATACTCACATAATTACATGTGAATAGTGCAAGAGTCAAAGTGAGACATTTATCTTGAAATGAAGGAGTAAATTGTAAATATTTTGAAAATATACTTTTTAAAAAGAAGTTCATTAATAATTTACGTAACACAAATTGTGGTATGATATTGTTATAGGCTACGCCAGTGTGGACAAAGTTGATGCGTTTGACCAGCATCTAGTATGGAGATCAATGGAGAATTATTATAATTTATAAATCAACCTACTATGTTTAAAATTAGTTGTCACAATTTTTATTATTTTTATAGCTATTGAACATTTTTAAATAAAGTTTCTATAAATTTTAAATTTAATATTTTGAAATGTATATTGAGATGAAAGTAGTAAAAATAAAATTTATATGATTATTTTTTCTGTATATATTGATAATAAAATTTGAAAAGTTTGGGTTTATAAAGCATTTATATCACTTACAACAAGAGTGGGAGGAAGAAGATAATGTGACTTATGTGAGCATGAAAAGGTGGTAGTAATTGTCAAAAAAAAAAAAAAAAAAAAAAAAAAGAAAAAGAAAAAGGTGGTAGTGTAGTTATATGTTGGCGTGAGGAGATTTGTAAACAATTGTAGTGTTGGTGCAGTGGGACACAAATGAATTGTACTCCAATTGTTACTACACTACGTGACCTCTCGGCTAAGCTGCTGACTCACTTTTTTTCTAGTCCTCTCTCCCTAGATCTTCAACCTTTATATATCCAAGTATCCAACAAAATAAAATAAAATAATACTGTCTTTATTTATTTTTTTTAAATGCATCAATTTGAGTTTTACACTATTTATGTATTACGTTTGACTTAATTTTTTTAATAATATAAAACAAGT